ACGAATTTTAGGGGGAAGATATGGAAAAGGGGGTGTGAATGTGATGTGCGCACGCTCCGTGAGCTTAGGAAAAAAAAAATATGCGCAGAGGCCAAAAGAAAGTTGGGAAACAGCGCGCACGTTGCGTGGGTTCCGGAGGGCCCTGGCGCCACCAAGCCAAAGTACTTTACTCGTCGGTACGTAAGAGTAACGAGTAGCACTTGTTACTTGTACTTCGTACGACAGTACAGTAATTAGTACTTACACTAGATGCTAGTACCGTAGATTGCTTGTGGGAGGCGGGAATGATTGAATGACCCAATACAGTGCTCGTACTCGGCAGTCGCTACGTTTTTGTACTCGTATCGTACAAATTGTAGCAGGCCGTGCCGTTCCAGCGCCGCGCGTAGATTCTGGTTCTGTTTTGTCTCCCGGGACAAGAACGGGAGCGATCCTGAACCGCAACGCAACCGCAGTCGGGAAAGACTCGCTGTGCCGTGCCGTTCCGTACGAGTACCCTACCGTACTTACCGTACCGTACGGTAACTGGTACGAGTACCGTTACTCGTATGCAGGTACCTGGTACTGTACTTACTCGTACCTTAGTATTGCGGGACGAGCTGAAGACGATCGAATCGAACCGAACCGAATGAATCAATCGGGGATGGGAAGAAACCAAAAAAGACGACGTTTCAGAGCGTGTTTCCCGTTTCGCCGCGGGAGTCTTGGAACGTGTAGTGTGCGATTCAACGGTATTTGGGTACGGCCGATGCGAGAGACTTGCCTGGCCCAGCCTCTGGACTAGACTAGACTAGACTAGACTAGACTAGACTAGACTAGACTAGACTAGACTAGCCTTGCCTTGCATTGGACCCCGTTCTTCACTCCCTTTCGACAGCATTGCCGCTGATCAAACGGGAACAGCAGACCAGACGAGACCAGGTTGGATCCGATTTGATTCGATTCGGTTCGATTCGATCTCATCCGATTCGATTCGATCCGACTTGATCCACGACACCGATTCTTCCAACCGATTCGCCTTTCTCTGTTGCATCGCGTACTCTTGCGTCGCACCCGGGCACGATCGCAGCGGAATCCGACGCCTTCCAACAGCAGCGGCAAGACAAGACAAGACAAGGCAACCGCCATGACGGATCCGCCCCCCCTCCGCAGCATCGTCGTGGGAAACCCCGCTCTGGGCGGGGGCAAGCCCTTGCAGCACCAATCGCAGCAGCAGCACCAATCGCAGCCCGTCGGCGTGACCGTCGACACGACCCTCCACCGGGCCGTCCACCGAATCCGTCTCTCGGCCCTCTCGCACAACTACTCGGAGGTGGAATCCGCGGCCAACAGGCAGCGGTGCTCGGTGATCGTCGTCGTCAAGGCGGACGGCTACGGGCACGGGGCGATCCCCTCGGCGATCTTTCTGGCCGACCGGATCGGGGCCGATGCCTTTGCGGTGGCGACTCTGGAGGTGGGTGGAGCAATGCATTGGAATGGAATGGAATAGAATAGAATAGATTGGAATATATTGGAATGGAATATATTGGAAGGAATGGACGGGTTGTTGTTGCATGCAGTTTCTGGATGGTTTCGGATTCTTTCGAATTGTTTCGAATGGTTTGTTTGCGTGCATCTGTGTGTCCCACAGAAGGATCTCACCAACCTCTTTTTTCGTTTCGCTCTGTCTTTTTATGCACCTATCTATGTATGCATCTATCTATGTATGCACCTATCTATGTATGCACCTATCTATGTATGCACCTATCTATGTATGCACCTATCTATTCACTCCCGCATTGCATCGATACAGGAAGGAATCGCGCTCCGAAAAGCTTTGCAAGAAACGGCACCCACGAATCCGGGATGCCACGAACGCCTGAACCACTACTTCAACCTGGGCAGGGATCCGCACCGCCTGCGTTCCTCCGGAGCCTCGCTGGCGGCGGCGGTGGAGCAGGACTCGGTGAGCGTCGTCACCAGCAGCGCCTTTGCCTTTGCATCCACATACGGATACGGGACGCACGGGAGGAAGCCGATCCGGGCGTCCCACATCCGCATCCTGGTGCTGGGCCCCCCGGTTGGCTTTCCGAGGTGCTTCGACGACTACTACCACTACAACATCGAGGCCATGATCTCGGGGCCCGAGGTGGCCATGGCCCTCTACGAGTGGGTCAGCAACACGGACGAGCGCAAGCGATTGCAGGTCGAGCGCGCGGCCAACGAGCTCAAGGAGAAGATCCTCCTGGAGCCAAAGGCCAAGGCCACGGCGCTCCACAACACAAACAGTATCAACAGTATCAACACAAACAGCATCAACGCAAACACAAACGCAAACACAAACCACGGAGCATCAAAGCCAGAGGGAGAACCACCCTCGGCCGGTTCCTCCACCGCGCAAAACTCAAATCCAAATTCAAACGCAAACACAAACGCAAACGCGGGAGACAACAACTCGCTGGCCTCGAGCACCGGCCGATCGTCGAGCCGGAGTTCCGGAAGTCGTGGGCCGATCCACCAGCAGATACCCTCGGCAACCCTGACCAACGTGACGGGATCGGATCTGGCGAGGGAGGTGAGGGAGATCCTCAAAAACCAAAAGATCGCCGCCGAGACGCAGAAACAGCAGCAGCAGCAACAACAACAGCAACTGAAGCAGGAACAGCTGCGGAACCAGCAGAACCGGGCATCGACACCGATCGGTGCCGACTCGTCGGAGGCTACGCCGGTGTCCTCCGTTGCGGATCCCGCCGGGAACAAGAATCCTGCTGCGAATCCCGATGCTGCTGCGAATGCAAATGAAACTGCAACAAACACAAAGCCAGCCTCTGCCCTTGCCTCGGCGTTTTCTCCGGTTCGAACGAACGGAAACGGGAGCAACGCTGCGAACACCACCACCACTGCCACCAGCAACAGCAACAGCAACAGCGAGGGAACGGTTCAGGCATTCGCGGGCCTCGAAGAGATGGCCAGGCACTCCAGGATACGGCAAAAGGCCATGGAGAGCGAGGTGTTCCACGATCGAGGAGGAGACGAAGAGGAGGAGGACGACGACCTCAATGGTAACGTCTATGTCAACGTCAACGTCAACGACAACGACAACAACCACACAGCGGCAGGCGATGCGACCAAAAACCAACAACGGCAGAACCACGACAGGCACGTCCCCACCAGCACGAATCGCAGAGCCCCGCCGATGTTGGCACCGACCAAGAAGCGCCTGCGGTGGCATGCTCTGGTGGACAGCGGCATGGGACGCCTCGGCTTCAAGACGGACCCGGTCACGACAGAAGACCACGGCAAGCGCAGGGACACGGTGGAAATACTCAAGGAACTCGCCGATCTCGAGGTCACCCCGGACTGTCCCGTGGAGTTCTACGGCATGTGCACCCACATGGCCGATGCCTCCAACTCCACGTCCACCTTTACGGATTCCCAGATGAACCGGTTCAAGAGCCTGCTCAAGAGGGTTCGCGGGGCGGGGATTTCCGTTCCGACCATCAGCACCGACAACTCCGCCGCGCTCCTGACCACGAACCTGACCCACTTCTCGGCCAACGCCAGGGTTCTCCTGGCCCAGAACGACGCCGACTCCCGGGGCTTTGTCCGGACCGGCGGGGCCATCTACGGCCAGCGGCCCTCCTTCGAACAGCTGAAGGCCGTCTCGACCCTGGTGGCCTCCGTCCGCCACGTCGCCACGCTCAGGGCGGGGGAATCGGTCGGCTACGACCGGGCCTACGTCGCCCCCACGAGCGTCCGCATCGCCACCCTCACCATCGGCTTTGCCGACGGCTACCCCAGGGAGCTCGGCAACGGCGTCGGGAGCGTCTCGATCCGTGGCCACCTCTTCTCGGTGGCCGGAAACGTCTGCATGGACATGCTCATGGTCGAGCTGGGACCGGCGGGAGAAACCAACGGGCCCGGGGCCGCCGTGGCCGTGGGCGACGTGGCACTCCTCTGGGGACCCGACGAGGGCGAGGAGGGGGAGGGCCACGTCCGCCTCCGGGACGTGGCGGAGGCCCTCGGGACGACCCAGTCGGCCCTCACCTGCGGCCTCAACAAGGAGCGGGTCCTCCGCAAGTACGCCTAGCCGAGCCGAGCCTAGCCGAGCCAAACCAAGCGAAGCGAAGCGAAGCAAGAATTCTCCAAGCCATGGCCCGGATGGTTCCGGGCTCTGGCTCCTTCAAACACGGTTCTGAACGGAATCCCGGGTTCGACGATTGTATTGCATCTGCTGTCGTGCGGCAGCTACGGGATTTTACCAATGCCACGGGCAGTTGTTGTTCCCGTTGCCGGATGGATCGAGCGAACGAAACGAATCCTTCCCGTCCCCGCCCGGACTGCAAGCCGAGACCGTTCCCACCGTTTCGCGACGGTGGTGACAATCCGTCCCTGCGTGGGCACCCCCACAATACGATTCCCGTCGCGGTCGCACAGAGGCAGCAGAACGGATCCGCACAACTCGCATTCCCCCCTGCGCATGGCACGAACGAGGACACTCTGTCTTTCTTTTTTGTAAAATACGGGTGTATGACTTTTTTTCTTTTGCCGCGAAAGATCCATCAAGGTTTCGACAAGTGCCGTGTCGTGCCGTAGCTGCAGGCTTGGACATGATCTAGACGGTTGACGATCCCCGCGCAGCAGTGATACCGAACGGAGTGAATACGAGCATTTCTGTGCACAGCACAGGCAGAATCGATTTTCTCGGCCATTGTCTGCACACGAGGAAACTAGTAGCGTGTATTATGAAAAAAATGAAAACAGATTTACTACGAGCATTTCTATATAGCTCAGGCAGAATCGATGTTCTCGGGCATTGTCTGCACACGAGGAAACTAGTAGCGTGTATTATGAAAAAAATGAAAACAGATTCACTACTTTATATTATACTTCGAAAGCTAACTTTTAGCTCTCGTCGAACGGAGTGTCGTAGCTACAGACCTCATCGATTCCGTAGTACCCCACGGGGTCAGGGCTGTATTGTGGAACCTTCCCTCCGATCGAAGCCGATGCCATTTTCTCGCTCACGTTCTCGATCGACCCGTGCCATTCATTGGCGCGAACCGAACGCTGCTTTTGTGGTGGCTGGTAGCCTTGGGGCTGGTGCTTGGCGGTGGGCGTCTTCTTCTCGAATTTCTGAATGGCCGCCGCGACCCTCCCGGACACCCTCGGGGACGATTTTTGGTGGTAGCTGCTGCGGGGGGACGACGGAGAGAAGCCACCGCCGCTGCGGTTTCCCCCGTTGCTCCGGGGCGACAGGACCGCGCGCTGGGGGGAGGCCACCGTGGTTTTGGTGTAGCGGGGGCTGCTGCCTTGGTGGGCACGGGGAAGCGGCATGGGACGGCTCGGCTTGGAGTAGTGGCGGGGAGAGGGTATGTCTATGCCATCGTCATCGCTGCTCGATTTTGTGAGCAGGGGGTGGTAGTCCTCGTCCTCATCCTCGTCCTCGTCTTCGCCGTCGTCGCTGCACAGGAAATCATCGTCCTCGAACGGATTCTTTCGTCTCTCTTGCTTGCGGGGCTTGCTCGAATCGTGGTGTCCGTGCGATGGCAAATGGTTCTCCGTGTCGTCTCTGTCCCAACCACTGCTTTCCATCGAATGATGGTCATGGTCCAAGGATGCTAGATCGGATCTGGTGCCCATTTTGAGCTTCGTAGCACGCCGTTTTTCTATCCGTCGGCTCAGAATCGAATCGAAGGTCATGGCCTCCGAGACCGTTTCCGGTTCGTCGAAGGGTTTTGCGTGGTCGTCTGTGCTAACGGTGTGGGCACTGCGGTGGTTGGAAACTTCGGTGGTGGTTTTTGTGTCGGTCGTGTTGTCGCTACCGCTTCTCTCCACGGGCTGTGTAGCTTCTTCGGAGGCTTCTTCGACGGCTTCTTCTCCACTCACCGTGCTCTGCGCTGCTTCGTCGGATCCTACGGAAACGGTATCTTCGGGTTTGTCTTTGTTGACGACAGGCAGGTTTACTTCTCCTCTTCTGGACTGCTGAGCAGCAGGACTCTCTTCTGGAGAACCAATTCCGGTGAGAGCCATTTGGTTCTTCTTGAGATACAAGCGCTGAATGTTTGCTTTCTTCCATCGTTCCAAATTTGTTAGGCGTTTTCCAGATTTCGGAACAATTTCTTTCGGAAGGATTTCGTTCGGATTGATTTCTTTTGGAACATCGCCTTTGCTTGCACGGTTATGAGAACCTCTACTATTTTTACCATTGTCCGATTTCATGGATCCGCAAGCTACAATGGAAGTGTCGCTTTCTTTCTCGGAGCTTGCACAAGAAGAATAATCGTCCTCTGGGATTCTTTCAAGTGACGATTGAGGAGGATCAGGTGCAGCGGCATTCTCGTACGATAAACAGCTATCTTCTTCGTAGGAGGATGTATTTTCAAGAACAATTTGAAGTGGCATTCGTCCAGGGGCAGAAACCTCGGATTTAACTTCCATGATACCAGACTTTCTCTCCTGTGGTGGTGCTTGCTGATGAAAAGGAGGTGATATCCCGTGCGCAACCATAGCGTATGGGCTGTTTGGTTGGGCCATCATCATCGGCATCTGATGATACTGCTGTTGCTGGTAATAATCATTCTGGTTATCATGGAACATGTGAGGGTTGTAGTGTTGGTGCTGGTGTTGATGCTGCCAAGAGGCAGGGTGGGGCTGTTGCATGGGATGTGGCGGTAATTGGAATGGTTGGTTGAAATTTGCATTCCTGATATCAGAATCGTCGCTGCGTCCATCGTCGAAGTCACCCGATGACGCCGACTCGTGTGACAGCGACATGAGAGATCTAAAATGATCGTTCTTATGAAATTCTGGCACCTTGGTACCATCCTCGAGATAAAAGCTATGATTTCCTTCTTTTCGATTTTTTGCATCTTCCCTCATTTGAGCTTCTAGTCCCAATGCAAGGGCTCCCTTTACGTTGAGATTGAGTTCTCTGTGCCCCTGTGAGTTAACCTTCACGAGCGACTTTTTGGCAGCCGGTTTTGGATCTTGCGGTAGAAACAGGGCATCCATGCACCCCATTTGAAGAAGGTCCTCCAATCTATCGATGTCGGAATCGATTGACATCGAAGGGGCTTCGAAGTATTCCTTAGAGTAGTCGGATGCAGATGAGTTGCTTCGGATTTCGCGAGAATTCGTCTTTTTCTGGAGCTCCCTTCCTTCCAAGTCATGGAGTTCTCTCTCATCGACCGCACTGGTGTCGGTTGATCCCCGACTTGAGAATAGAGAGCCAGTCTGCTTCAGAAACTTCCCGGCGAACATTGTCAGGTTCTGTCGTATTGGCTGCTATGTGCCTCGGTTTATCGTCGAAGTTGTTGTTTGTCTTGGTGTTTTAAGTTTGAACCAGCTTGTCACAAAAACTTTTCCGAGCCGTCTATTTGCGACGGCTTCTTTGTCACAGGGCAAGCTTCCCCTCGAAGATCGACAATTTTCGTGAAGTATCGTACATCGGTACGGTACCCGGACCGGTTGTACGTAGAACTTCGTTTGATGTTACTCCATCCGAGAGGAGATTGTCAATCTCGGATTTACGTATTTGGCGAAATTATTTTTTTTAATTTTCTTCGGAGATGTTCGATTTGCGACAATGACATCGCTAAAGCGATCAAAATCGCACGCGCATAATATTTTTTATATATTCATTCACGAATATTATATATCGCCGAAGAGCTCAGTTTTACGTCTCTTATCACTCAATTTAGCGTTGAATTGAATTTCACAAAATTGTTACCACTAATGTAAACACATACGCAATAAAACCGACACCTTCGGGCGGTTATTGTTCGAAGTTTCGTGAAGGAGATCAAACCATCGTAGGTTAAAACAGCATTGAGGGGAAATAGTCTAGCAAATCACCTCTTAGCTTCTGTAGGTCTACTGTCACAAGACACTTCACCAAAAAGCAAACCTTCAGGTCGACATTTTCCTTTGTCGAACCATGAGGCACGCCAATTCAAACTCGAATCAGCATCATTATGATCGATCGCGACAAGATCACTACGAAGATGAAGCACGACTAGGCAACGACCAGACGGAAAACCATCCTTATCCACATGCTATAGCTTCGCCATACCATCAACAGAATGTTATCTTCGAGCAGCAAAATAGGAGGGTAATGCAGCAACAAATGCAATCCAGTGGATACATGAATGGGATGCCTCAATATCCAGAGGAAGTCATGCAATATAACTTTCAAATGAACCAAAATGGCTTTAACAAAACGGGTCATATCAATGGAAACAATATAATGAATCCCCAAATGACCTACGGCCATCGACAAACCTTACCATTTGAGGATGAACAAGATAACATTAGATTTCGAGAGGAACGCAATGGTCATCGTTACTCCGAACTCTATGAAGAATCTTATGCTCCACGTTCAAGCACACCAAGTGGAATGATGACATCAACCGAGCGAACTAGAGGGACGCGAGCACATACATCAACGAGTAGATCGACGTCGGGATATGGAAGCTCTATGGTATCTTCTTCTTCGGATTCTGATACAGATGATTCGAACTGGGAAGACAACATCTTTTCTGCATTGAATGATATGGCAGGTAATCTGAAAAAGATGGGCGGAATCCATTGCAATCAGGCAGGTCCAGATACTACCGAGGTCCAATTGAAGATCAACCTTCCGTTGCCCATACATAGCCTCGATGCTGTTGCCAAAGACGCTATGGCGACGCTCAGTCCGAAAAAGTGTAGTAACATGCAATACGACAACAATTTTGACATGGAAGAACAGTTTTTAGGGGCAATGGACAAACTACAAGGAAATATGATGCCTGTTTACAAGAGTCTGTTTGAAAGTCAGAGTGATTCTTCCTCTTTTGAAGACGACGATGATGATCAGTCGGAAAGTACATACGAAGACCCCCGTTTCCTCCCGACCAATGCAAACATTGAACAGCAGCAGCAACAACAGCTACAGCAGCAGCAGCAGTTACAGCAACAGCAGTTACAACAGAAACATGCCAATATGGCAATCCCGAAAAATAACGATGGCGTCCCATCACAAATCGTAATTTCGGATTTACCCTCTGCCGTCAGTTCATCTGATAGCTGGATGCTTTTGTCGCCTCGTGACAGGTCTGATGACATAATGAAGACAATCAACAACAACCTAGACGCTGCCGCGCGTGATTCAAGATTAATGTCTGATCAACATAACGGTGCGCATGGACAGAACTCGCAATGGGTACCTGCGACAAAGCAAAAGCTTGTGGTCGAAAATCAAGAAAATATCGAAACAGAGGAGAGAGCTTACGGAGATGCTAAACCCATGAAGGCTGGACAAGAAAAAGCAAACACCAAATCCAATATTGGAATACCACAGATGATTGACACTGTTCAAAACGGCCAAAACATTCCTGAATGTTATAGTGATTTGACTGTTGATTTCCGTAAATCTACTAAGTCGGGAAAAGATAAAACCACATCGAATGTTCCCACGGTAAAGACGCAATTCAGTGGAGACGAAATACTGGGACGCGATAAAGCGTTGTTCCAGCGCAACGGTGCAAAGAAAGCTTCTATCGATGCTCCAGAAGTCATGTTCGAGGAAGGGGGGGAAATGATGGCTGAGATTCTTGGACCGGATGATGAACCACTTCGTTCAAATATGGATGCGCCTGGTGTTGCAGCTGAAAACGGCCGCGAAGAAGAATCTGAAGAAGAAAGAAAACAAATGGAAGCGTGGGAGCACAAAGCAGTGAAACTTGAAGAAGAAAGAAGACGGCTTGAAGAAGAAACAAGGGCAGCAGAAGAAGCGGAGGTTGAGAGAATGATCGAAGAGCAAAGAAAGCAACAAGAAGCGGAAGAGAAAGCACGACTTGAGGCCGACGCGAAGAGAAGAGCTGAGGAAGAAAGGCATGAGCAAGAAATGGAAGAAAAGAGAAAGGAGGAGGAAAGAAGAAGGCAGATAGAAGCGGAGGAGAGGCTAGAAGAAGAGAAAAAGCGGATAGAAGCTGGAGAAAAAGCAAAAGAAGCGAAAAGATTGGAGGAAGAGAGAGAACGGATGGAAGCAAAGGCGAAAGCAGCTCGTCTCAAGTTGGTGGAGGAAAGGAAAAAGATGGAGGCCGAAGTAAGAAAGAAATACGAGGAGGAAAAGAAGAAACAGGACGCTGAGGCGAAAGCGAAAGAAGAGGCATTGGAATTACAGAAGTTCGAGGAAGAAAGAAAACGAATGGAAGCCAAGGCGAAAGCCGGAAAACTGGTAGCAAGGAGAGAAGCAAAGGAGAAAGAACGGTTTGAAATCGAGAATAAAGACGATGCAAGTGATCGAGCTTCCCTTTACAAAATGCAAGGGTTTGATGACTATTGCAAGGGTTTGTCGGATAACAACCGTGTCGATACGATAGACCATGGAACTACTGTGCGGAAAAAGTCACCCCTCTCTGATAACGACATGGCCGATGCTGATTACGACGGTTTCGACGAAATCCAGGCTTCATTGTGTGACGAACCGGAAATTGTGTCAGAGGATTCATCTAGTTCACACGAGAGCCGCTCGCTGTCTTCCGGGGAGGAGGAAGAGAGCTTAAGAAGTAGAAGTTCTGACGAGCGCTCCACGCCGAGTCATTCTACTCATGCCAGCATGAGTGACGAAGAGTCAGATATGTTTTCAGATGAATCCTCTTTTGTCGAGGATTCCGACGAGGATTCTGCATCACGATCTGAATATTCTGAAACAGATTCTGTTCCAGAATTAATGACCAAAAATACGTGCACTCGATCTGTCAATTTTGCGAAGCCTAATGCACAACAAGGTGGTGCAAAAGATGGAGCAATTAGAGGAAAGAAATCACTGTTCTCTTCGTCGTCATCATATGCATCAGAAATGCCCATCGCTATTGTAGCTACAATGAGTACGCTGCGTACCTTCGATCTAGGCTCGGTGCATTCGGCACAGCGAAGCCTCGGTAGATTTCTTCCCTGTGACGAAAGTGTCGTATCGACTACGAGTTATTCCCAGCAAACTGTGATGTCCGCAAAACCTATACCAACCTCTGGGGCCGCCTCGCGCTTGCAGAAAAAGAAAGCCGATGAAGAGGTCGGATTGCGATCTTCCATCTTGGGAAGCACCATCTCATTATTAGTTCGATTGATGTTTTCCATCATCGTATTTGTTTTCATGTGGACCAAGCATCTCTTGACTATGTTGTGGAGAAAAAGAAGGGCCAAGATCGACTGCACACCCACGAAGTTTGCGTTGCAACCGGACCAATCGATAAGGCGGGAGGAAATCCAGGACCGAAGCATGGATAATTTCATTCACAGAGCGAACACCCGTCGACACGGCCGGTCTCCGTACCTTCTTCACGAGGAGCCCCACCGAGAGCACTATACAACGACTATGGTGATGAAGCCGACCGCAAGTTCGGCGTACTTGCCAGACGACAGCGACGAAGTTGGCACTTGTGCGGAATCGATAGTTCCCGAAACCCATTGTCCCAGTACTTCGGACGGGAAAATGACGCCGTGGAAAATCAATCCCGCTAGTACCGAACTATCATCTCTGTCGTCCCCACCATCTTCGTCCTTCCGGCTGCTGAAGAAGGCCTACTCCACTCTATCTTCCAAAAAAGTTGGCGAGAAATCGAACTGGATTGACCACGAGACGATTGACGACGAGATGAGTTATTACGACTGAGAGAGCAATCATAAAGAATTGTTCATAAATACAGAGATGACTTAATAATGACCAATGGCCCGAACCAAAAAATATCGCCATCCAATCGTGTGTTTGGCGATGGGCGTTGGCGTCATCTGGAATAGAATAGAAAAAACCGAATAGTTTGTAACATATACTACTACTGCTGCTGCTGATGGCTCGCATTCCTTTTTATTTCATATACTTCATAACTCTATTTTATAAGATTTTCCATCATTTTTTTCATCGTTGCAAGGCAAATAATAAATTTTGTCAAGTATGATACCACTGTTTATTGAATGTTTTTCTTCCAGCTATATATAACTGGAACCATGGTTAAGGAACTCTTCTGGGCTGCGAAACAGAACAATAGAAGCATCCAAGACGGACGGATGCTGCTTTGTGCCAGAGAGGTATCGCCCGGTTTCGAACCAAAGCCATCAGAAATCCAGGTCGTCCATCCGGAGGTTCTCGGCGTTGGTGCTGATGAACTCCTTTCGGGGCGCGACCGAGTCTCCCATGAGGATGCTCAGGGTCTGGTCGGCGAGGGCGGCGTCCTCCATCGTTACCTTCAGCAGGGTTCGTCGCTCGGGATCCATGGTCGTCGTCCAGAGCTGCTCCGGCATCATCTCGCCGAGCCCCTTGAACCGCTGGACGGTGACCCTGCCGCTGCGGAGGGCGTTTGCCACGGCGTCGCCCTCCCCGTACTCGTCGTCGAACTCGTCGCCGCCGGTCCCGGCGAAGCCGCGGACGAGCGAGTCCTTCGTGGCGTCGTCGTAGGCGTACTGCTCCTTCCTGCCCCGGCCCGACCCCGCCGAGACCTTGTACAGGGGCGGCTGCGCAATGTACACGTGGCCGTTCTCGATCAGCTCCCTCTGGTACCGGAAGAAAAAGGTGAGGAGGAGGACGCGGATGTGTGCCCCGTCGACGTCCGCGTCCGTCATGATGACGATCCGTCCGTACCGGAGGGCCTCGGGGTTGAACTCGGCCCCCTTGACGCCCAGCCCCAGGGCGGAGATGAGCCCCTGCAGCTCGTTGTTCTGGTAGATCTTCTCGGTCGCCACCCGCTCGATGTTGAGGATCTTTCCCCGGAGCGGCAGGATGGCCTGGGTCCGGCGGTCGCGTCCCTGCTTGGCGCTGCCGGCGGCGGAGTCCCCCTCCACGATGAAGATCTCGGACTCGGAGGCGTCGCTGGTGGCGCAGTCGGCGAGCTTGCCGGGAAGGATGGTGGAGGTGAGCAGGGTCTTGCGGCGGACCATGTCGCGGGCGGCCCGGGCGGCGGAGGCGGCCGCCTGCGCCGCGCTCGCCTTGGAGTAGATGGCGTCCAGCAGGTCCGGCCGGAACTCGAAGAGCTTGACGAGCTCCCTGGCGAGGATCGAGTCGACGGCCGGCCGGACCTCGATGTTCCCCAGGCGTCCCTTGGTCTGGCCCTCGAACTCGGGCTCCGGGACCGATACGGAGACGACGCAGGTCAGGCCCTCCCGGACGAAGTCCCCGGGGAGGTTCTTGTCGGATTCCTTGGCCTTGCCGGTCTTTTTGCTCATGGAGTTGACCGTCCGGGTCAGGCAGGTCTTGATGCCGTCGACGTGGGTCCCGCCGTCGCGGGTCCGGATGTTGTTGCAGAAGGAGAGGATCGATTCGGTGTACATGTCGGACGACCAGCGCAGGGCCACCGAGACGGAGATCCGGTTTCCGTTGGCGTCCGGCTTGGTGGACCCCGAGGCCAGGACCGTGAGGCCGTCGTCCGAGAGGAGTCCCTCCAGCGGGTCGCTTTCGGAAGCGGAGGCCGCGGCTGTTTTCCTCCGCTTCTTGGGGGGGGGAAAGAGCGGGCTCTTGGTCTTGCAAAGCTCTGTCGCGAACTCCGCCAGTCCCCCGGCGTGGTAGTAGACCTCCATCTTGGGGATCTTGGCCCGCTTGTCCTTGAGGGCCAGGACCAGCCCCGCGTTGAGGTAGGCGATCTCGTCCATCCTCCCCCGGAGCCGGGAGGGATCGAAGGAGATGTCGGGCTTGCCCTTGTCCCCCTTGAAGACCTCAATGTCCGGCAGGAAGGTCACCCTCGTTCCGGTCGTTCGCTGCTTCTGCAGGTCCCGGAGCATCTCCAGCTTTTCTACCCGTTCCTTTCGGGACCGGGCGGCCTCCTTCTGGTCCTCGTCCTTGGAGGAGAGCTTCTTGTTGGTGGAAGACCGGAGGGCCCCCAGCTCCTCCTTTACGTCCCCGTCGACGATCGACCCCCTTCCCTTTTTCGAGGCCAGCTGCGCCACCGGCACGCCCCGCTCGAAGCGCATCGAGTGGGCCTTCCCGCCCCGGTCCACCAGGACGTCCACCGACTCGGACAGGGCGTTGACGACCGAGATGCCGACCCCGTGCAGGCCGCCGCTGACCTTGTAGCCCCCGGCGTTGCCCTGGTTCTCGAACTTTCCCCCCGCGTGGAGGATCGTCAGGACGGTTTCCAGGGCGCTGGTCTTGGTCTTGGGGTGGACGTCGGTGGGGATCCCCCGGCCGTCGTCGACCACGGTGCAGGAGCCGTCCTCGTTGATGGTGGTGCTAATGAAGCTGGCGTGGCCCGCCAGGGCCTCGTCGACCGAGTTGTCGACGACTTCCCAGACCAGGTGGTGCAGGCCGTCGGGGCCCGTGGATCCGATGTACATGCCCGGCCGCTTCCGGACGGGCTCGAGGCCGTCCAGGACGGTGATCTGTCCGGCCCCGTACTCGGGGGCGGTGGCCTCGGCCTTGGTTTTGGTTTTGCCTTTGGCCTTGGTTTTGCCCTCGGGGGCTTCCACGGTGGCGGACAGAGCGGTGGACCGGGGGGTTCTCGGCGATGACACCGAGAGCGAGAGGCCGGAAGCGCCCCTCCGCTGCATCAGCACCGCGGACAAAGCCCCCGCCACCAGCAGGCTTCGAACGGAAGAACGCGCTCGGGCGTTGGTGGGTTTCATGGCTTTCTCTGTGCCGTCGTCGTCGCGGCGGTTCGTTGTTGTGTGGTTGCTCGTCCTCCTCCTGCACTGCCGCAATGGAATGGATAGAGTAATTGATTGATCGGGGTGTTCTTTTATAGTCTCGTTGTCGTTCGAGGTTGGTTGTTTGGTTGGTCGGTCGGTCGGAACGGTGGATACGGTCCAAGATCGATCGCTGATGGATCGATGGGAGAGGTACGGTATGTGAAACCAAACTGACAACTTTCCACAAAACCGAAATTCGATTCGAAAATCAGCGCAGCGCCTACGGCAACGTACGAGTACCGGTTGAATGCCGTACCAAGTACTTAGTACGAGTACTGTATGCACCGTACGATCACGTACGGTACAACTTACATACCACACCGTACGGTAGCAGATGTACATACCGCCGTGCGATGCCTTCCTTCCCAAAGCTACACATCCATCCATCACACATTTTTTCCTTTTTCCAATAGCGACGAATGGATGGTGCATGGGCATAAGCGGGACTGGAGACAAACAGGACCCAACCGAACCGGACGCCGCTGCAGCATCTCTCCCGGCCGGGCTTGCTTGGTCGGTTTCGGTTTCGGCTTCTGTTCCACGGGATTGACGTGTTTTTCAAACGTGAAGAAAGAGAAAGTTCTGCGTGTGGTTTGGTTGCGGGGACTAGTGTAGTACTTCTAGTGGGGCAGCCAGTACTGGCAAACAAACGCGATAGCTCGGGAACCTTCTCGTTTCTTGTTCAACATCTTGTTTTTTCGCTCCGCTCTTCCTTCGAAGAATCGAATCTAGCTACCGTACGGTAGCAAGCGGTAAGTGCGAACTACTTGAAAGGGCTAAGGCATTGCACGAAAAAGACTTTGTTGTACACGCAATACTCGTACTCGTATTGTCGTGAACAGGAACGAACAGATCATTCGTGGATTGGCCTTGGACTAGCCTACTTGTACCGTACGCTACATACCGATCGATACTCGTACCTACCTTCTGCCGAAGCAAGCCAATACCACAACACCCTCACAGACGGAACAAAGCAAGGAATCTTCCTCTCCGACAATTTTCAAAGCATTGGTTCACACCAAGCTATACTATATTCAAAACGCGGTAACAGCAATCAACAAACAAACGAATCCGTTGCGTTCCATTGTCGTCGTCGGCTGTTGGGAGTAGCGAGAATCTAGGTCGAAGCAGGAACAGATACAGAAACAGACAGGGCAGCTTGCTCGATACGCGCAATAAGTAATACTTTACACAACCCAGACACGACGCACAGACACTTGCAGACACACACATACAACCAATACAGCACATACAACACACAGACAACACACACAGACACCATGGGACAAAAGGTATCGACCACCTCCTTCCACAAGGTCGGCGAGGACGAGCCCCACTTTTCCCGGCGAAAGGCGATCCTGGCCAAGCACCCGGAGATCAAGGAGCTCTACGGCCCCGACATCCGCCTGGCCTACTCCATCGTGGCCCTCGTCGTCGCCCAGCTGGGCCTGGCCGTGCTCTCGCAGCGCATCGAGAGCCATGCTTCCTGGCTGTTGCTGTGCTGGTCGATCGGCGGGACGCTGACCCACTGGCTCTCCCTCGGGAACCACGAGCTCTCGCACAACCTGGGCTTCAAGACCACCCTCTACAACGAGCTCCTGGGCATGGTGGCCAACTGCGCCCAGGGGATCCCCTCGGCGATCACCTTCAAGAAGTACCACCTGGAGCACCACTACAGCCAGGGCGTGGAAAGCATCGACGTGGACATCCCCACCACCTGGGAGGGCGAGGTCTTTGACACGCGGCTCAAAAAGGTCCTGTGGGTGATCCTCCAGCCCGCCTTTTACGCCCTCCGGCCGCTGGTGGTGGCCCCMAAGCCGGTCTGTTTCAAGACGGTTGCCAACACGGCCTCCACCCTGGCCTTTGACGCCGCCTTTGCCTACTGCTTCGGGGTCCGGGCCCTCCTCTTCAACGTCCTTGGCACCCTGCTGGGGATGGGCATCCACCCCGTCGCCGGCCACTTCATCTCGGAGCACTACACCTTTGTGGAGGGCCAGGAGACCTACTCGTACTACGGCTGGCTCAACCTCGTCACCTTCAACGTCGGCTACCACAACGAGCACCACGACTTTCCCCGGATCCCGGGCTTTCGGCTGCCGGAGGTCCGCAGGATCGCCCCCGAGTTCTACGAGGACCTGCACAGCTACGACTCGTGGAGCGGGGTCATCTACGACTACGTCTTTCGCATCGACATTGGGCCCTACAGCCGCGTCAAGCGGCCCAACCGCAAAAGCGCGGGGGGCAAGAAGGCGGCCTAGGCTCGAAGAGCGGGCGGGCGGGCGAATTAGTTTTGGTGTGTGGGGGACGGCGTGGGTTTTTTTAAAAAAGAGTACCGTACAAAGTTCTGTTCTTGTGGTTTGTAAAAAGTACTGTACGTAGCCAACCAACTCGATCGATGCAGTGGTCGTTGCACATTTTAGTCTACATTACAGTACGCAGTTGCATTTCATTTCATTTCCACGTGGTCGGAGAACGAGAACGCGCCTCCGTGCCTATTGCTGCACCTAGCACCGTGATTCTCGCTGGAATCCTTCCGAGGCCACTAGGGCTCGGCTTTGTTTGTACGTTTGTCCAAAACCGGTGCGGTGCGGTGTGGTGTTGTGTCGAACCGCTGGCACGCTGTTGCGGATGGATTGGATCCATCGGTGCAATGAATGCGTGCCATTGCTCCGTGTAGCTAGCTAGCTAGCTATGCGCACGAGACCGACATGAAAAGGAAAGGAATCGATCGTCCCGTTTCGTCGCCGTGCCGCGTCGAAGACTGCTGGTTTGGAATTGCTGGTACGGTTTTCAAGCGGGAACCATCGGCACTCGACACTGTGTTTGATGATAATACGCAATCTATGATACTGTATATGTATACATTTATATCTATTGACACACCCACACAGAACCACAAGCGTGATTGCGACCCGCTGGTAGTTGCTGCGTTTCCTTTCCTTTCCCTTTGTTTTCGTTTGTTCCGTTCCGTTCCGGCCGCTTGCGGGCCCCTTGGCTCACTCAAAGCTCGAGAGCTCCAGGTCGTCCTCGAGCTCGTCGTCTTCCCGAAAGGTCAGGTCGAAGGCCTCGTCCGTGTCCCGGAGCAGCTGGTGCGTCCGGCGCCGATTCCACTTGCTCTGCTCGAGGGCCCGGTGCAGGAGGACGGCCCCGCAAGCCACCACCGCCGCTCCCGCCAGCGCCAACACCCACCTTCGGCCGCCGCCACTGGGAGAAGCCGGGGCCGCGGCTCCCTCGCCGGTGGGTTCGAACGCGTGGGGGAGGGGGACGGCGACGGTCACGCCTTCGCCGCTGCCGGATCCCCCATCGCTGTCGCGGGGGGTCTCCCCTTCTTCGTGTTCGTGTTCTTCTTCGTCGCTCGATGGAGGGTGGTCCGCGGCGGTGGATGCCTCCGCGCCAACCACGCGGGATCCTTCGGAGAGCCACCGGCCCGCTCCTGCTTCGAACGGATCCGACAAAGGCCGGAGCAGCGAGCGGTGCCCGGGCTCCGAAAGGCTGCCCGGGAGGCCGGCACCGACTCCAGCAGCTGCTGTTGCTGCTACCCCACCGAGAAGTGCTGGCACCGCCAGCACAGCGGCGGCGAGGAGGCAGCGGGCTGTGGTGGCGTTGGCATTGCTGTTGCTGTTGCTGTTGCTCTTTGCCACCCTTCTGAAGGGTGTTTTGCGCTGCATCGTGTTTTGCTGGTGCTGCTGCGGGCTTGGGTCGATTCCTTCTGCGCGTTGGTTTGTGAATGCGGTTGTCGTTGCCGTAGTCGTTGCCGTAGTCGATGTTCTAGTTGTTCTGCGGGAAGATCCGTGACGACATCAAAGACCAAAGACCAATGTGAATGTTTCCAACCCGAACCATTCTATGGTACGGTATGAAGCGAAGCCTTGTTCGATTTTTTTTCGAGTGCCGTTTCGTTGGGCGTTGGGGGTTATTACAGTCTTGTACAGTAGAGGTTAATCTTTGACGCCTCTTCACGGCTTAAATAATTGGTCCGTGATTCATCCCACCGTGAGAAACAATACGAAATGTCTCTGGCGGTACAGCACGATACCGTACGGTGCGGCAGGGGTCATAATTTAGACCCCTGCGGTGCGGTACGGTACACGGTAGTTTGGCAGATTTAGGCTCACAGAGCGTCTTCGATCTGGTTCCGAGATAGATCAAGTGAGTCGAAAACAAAATCCGCATCCATCGTCTAGGCGCCTCCCCCGAGGCAATTCCAACCGAACTAGAAGTACAGTACTGTACTTCATACTGTATCGTACCGTACAAAACGAAGAATCCAATGGATTGTCCCAGCGAAAAGGTCTTTCGGAATCTTTGCTTGTTGGTTTGACACGAATTGCTGCAACACAAGCATTTCTCCTCACAAACGTGCTCAGTTTTGGCTTGTGGATTGCAGCAACTATAAAAATTATAATTTGATAAGCTATCCTACTACTAGTAGCTAGTAGAGTCGAGAAATTCTAAATTCTAGTTACGAATTTTTGGAACAAACCAATACAAAAGCAACAATGGAACTCAAAGAAAGAGAGAGGTGGTGATACGTCAAACAGTAGCTATTATTGCTTTACAATGCAATGCTAATTCTGCAGCTCCAATCACTGTGGTTGCTGGTGCTGTCACGGGCGTGTTGATTCTGGCTTTTGCTTTTTTTCTGGCGTAGCACTGGTCGTATTCAAATTAGGAGTCGTTGGGTTCAGCTGGATTGTTTCGAATAGCAATCACGACGATAGCAGTAGTGCTCTCTAGCAACGCGGTTTTTGTCTTTGCGCCCGCAAGTCGGGGTTTGGTTCTATCATCACTCTTGTTCGACACCGTCATGGATGTATTGTTGTGTTCGTCCTACAACGATGTTTTCGATCCTGCTGGATTGGTGCATGCGATGGATTTCCGGGAGAAGCATTGAATCCTGGGAATGGTCGAAGGATGTGATTCCTTCGTTCGTTTGTTCGTTCGTTCGTTCGTTCGTTCGAACGTTCTGCTGTCCCCGTCGTCCCAGCGCGGGTGTCTTACCGGGTCTTTTCCTTGTCGCCAAGCGCATCGCCGGTTTTCTTCGGCGCCGCTCTTTTCGCCGTGCAGTGGAGATAGCTTTCTGAGTAAAACACAATGACGCTCACGATGATGCTGGCGTCGTACAGGGCGTGTCCGCCCAGCGACCGAACCAGAGAATCGCAGCACAGGGCCTCCGCCCACGACACCACGATCGGGAGGACCCCCGCCAGGGGCAGGAGGGCGTACTCCCGCTCGTTCTTCTGGTCCGGGGGCAGCAAGAGCTGGCTCGCCGCAAACGCGACGTTGACGACGGTCTGGACGTACCCAAAGGCGAGCTCCTTCCGGACCACCGCGTTCCCGCACGTGGCGGCAACCGCGCAGAGGAAGAGGGTCCCGTGGCGGAGGCCCGGCAGGGCCGCCCCGAGCAGCGGGAACCAGAATCCGACGCAAAAACCGGCCAGCTGCCAGGGCTTGGGGCCGCTCTCGCCGCCGCCGTTCGAATCAGCAGCAGCAGAAGCAGCCTCCGCCATTCCCCCGGCGATCCTTTCGCGGAGTTCCTTCGCCATCACACCGTGCGCGACCCCGTGGCCCACCGTGGAAGCAACGAGGCTAGGGACGAGCTTGCTCGGGGCCTCCATGCCCGGAAGCTTGCTCCAGGAGAGGTACATGGCGCCCAGGACGGCCGAGAGGACCACGTCGAGGTACAGGCAGGCATCGAAGCTGGAGCGGTAGGGGACCTCCTTGTTGTGGATGCAGAAGCCGGCTTTCTTCCAGTGCTCGTCCACCACCCCCTCGCTGCCGGGCCGCGCAAAGCACAGGACGAGGAAGGCGTACCCGAGGGCACCCACCAGGAGAAAGGCGTTGGCCGCGTCCCCCCGGGCCCGGTAGCAGGGGCTGCTGCTGCTGCTGCTGCTGCTGTTGTTCACAGCCGGCGTCGGTTCCTCCATCGCTTCGCTTCGCTCGCTGGCAGGGAAGGTCTTTGGCCGGCGTTGTTCTCGAATCGAATCGAATCGAATCGAATCGGTGGKGGTGGTGGAGTATGTTCCGTTCACGCCTCTCCAAAAGGGTTGGGTTTGCCGGTGTCAGGACTTGACTTGACGGAACTATGGGTTCGGAATTCAGTCGATGTGATGGAACAAAAACAAAACATTTCAACACTTCCAGAACGGTACTCTTCTTTGTACGTACAATACCGTAGCGTACCGTAGGCCCACGCACAGGAAGTTTCGTGTTTTGTGTTGTCAAGTATGAGTACGAAGTACAGTACGCAGAAGTACGTCCGTACTGAGCTCTACTGTGGAAACCACCACGTGAAAGTTTTAAGATTTAAGAAAATTCTTGTTCAAAAGTAATCACGAGTAACATTCAATCCCTAGTTCTAGGTCGCAAATCAACCATCAAAAATCCGGTCGACGAAAATGGAAACAAGAACAGAAACAAACGAGCTCTGCTCATGCACAACACAACATTCTTTTGTTCCAAGCGTCGTACGGCAGGACAAGAAGAAAAGGCCTGGCAAAGATGGACAAAAGCGGAGACAAATCTGGAGATGCCGCACCACAGACTCCAAACCAGCGGGACAGCGGGCAGGCGGACGGTGGGACGGACAAAGGAGAGCGTCAGAGGCGTGCACTCGGTCTCACGGCAAGCCTTTCGTCGGAAACGCCGGGCACGCTTCTTCCGGATCCGTACCCCGAGTCTTGTCTCGAACGCCGATCCGAGACCAGTGATTCGTTGATAGAACTCGCGAGGCACACCTTCCAGAAATTGTCCTCGGACGGGGACTGGAGACCGACGCCCATCCAGCTACAATCGTGGCCCGTACTGAAAACGAGGTCCAGGAAAGAATCCTCCTCGAAGAGGGACAATCTCAACCTGGTGGCGATTGCAACCACCGGAAGCGGCAAAACCCTGAGCTACTCGGTGCCAATGGTCGATTCCTGTGCGTTGGTAAAAGGAAAGAAGAGTCGTCGATACGTTCACGGATTGGTATTGGTACCCACCAGAGAGCTGGCACTCCAGGTCTCGAAGACCTTGAAGGTTGTGACCAAAACAGCAAACAGGCTTTCCGGAAAAAGCGACAAGATTGCGGCCGTAGCGATATACGGCGGCGTCAACCGGGACGAACAGATCGATGCGCTGGGCAAGAACTCGCAGTACATTGTGGCCGCCACACCACTGCGACTGATCGACCTGCTGGGAATCGGAGAAAAGGACGGAAACGGAAAGAAACCCGTTCCGAACGAAGCGATCCAGCGCCTCTTTGAATCGACGCGGTACCTGGTGATCGACGAAGCGGACCAGATGGCCGTCAAGTCCGACATGTCGGAGCAAGTCGATCGCATCGTTGGCTTTTTGCGGGAAAAGTCTTCCGAGTTGCACAAGGAGTGTTTGTTTTCCGCCACGCTGCCGCGCCGCGCCGTTGCCAAGTGCAGCGAGTGGATCCACGGGCCCAGGGCCACCGTAAAGGTAGACACCGTGACGGTCGGGAAGGATTCCAACAAGGATTCCGGAAACCACGCCCCGGAAGAAACAAAAGGGAGGGCCGCGGAGTGCAAGGGGCCCCTGGATCTGTCCACCATCCCCGCCCACATCACGCAGACCCTGCACGTCTGCGCCAACCACAAAAAGCCAAAGAAACTCATGACGACCATCAACAAGGTCCGAAAGGCCGAGAAGGAATCGGGAAACCGGCGCAGCAGGGGTCTTTTGATTGTGTTCTTTGGTCGCATCAAGACCTTGCAGTGTGAGTGATTCGGATTGGTATATATTTGAGCGGTTGTGCCATCGGCATTCCTTGGCAGTGGTCAACGCATTGTGGATCCTGACTCACGAAATTCTCTTCCTTTTTTCAAATGCCAGACGTTCACAATTTGTTGGAAAAAGAACAAATCAAGGGGATTGCGTTGCACAGCCAAATGAATCAGAAGAAACGAGAATCGCAGCTCAATTTGTTCCGGAGTGGCAAATGCCCTATTCTCCTAGCAACCGATGTCGCTGCCAGGGGAATCCACATCAAAAACGTAGAATACATTATAAACTACGACTTTCCGGGGTCTCTGGAACAGGTACGTGCAACAACTGTACTACTGTATGATACTACTCAAAAGAACGTGTGTTTTGTTTCGTGCCTAAGTGTGGAAACGAGTCTCACCGTTCCACAACCCGTGTTTTTTCCGACAGTACGTCCACCGCTGCGGCAGAGCGGGCCGCGGCACGGTCAGCGGAAGGGGCCGGGACGATCCCCGGGAAAAGGCGTCGTCGTCATCGACGTCGACGTCGAACCCCACCGTCTACAGCTTCTTCCACCGGGAGCTCGCACCCATGGCCGGGGACGTGGTGGAGCTCCTTCGCTCGTGCAACGCGTGGATCGATCCGAACCTGGCGGCGCTCGTTCCCAGTGGAGCAAGGGAGGCCGGAAGCGAGTCCAAGCGAAAGCGGCGGAAGCGCCAGAGGGCCACCGCCGGCGAAACCGGAAGCGATGCGGGCGGGCCCGCAACCGGGCCCCAAAAAAAGCCCGAGACGGGAGCTCCGGCGAAAAAGACCAAGACCAAGAGCGGAAGCAGCGAAACGGATCCCTTGGCCACGGAGGAATCGGAGGACGAGTTTGCGCACCTGGCACCAAACCGCATCGTCTTGAAGCGGGCCAGCCACGTTCCGACGACCGATTCGGAGGACGAGAGTGATTAGCAACACAACACACTAATTGGTTCATCATCGTCGATCCCAGCGTCGTGTCCTAGCTCGTTTTTTTGCTGTTTTTGGTTTTGGTTTTGTTTGGGCAGTCTGCCGTAGCATAGCATCCCATGCAAGCAACCCGAGCTCCTCCCCCGCGAAGCGCCCCCTTCATTCGCTGCTTCCCGCTCGGCGCACGTGGTTCAGCGACTCGAACAGCGCGCAGAGGTCCCCGGTGTTGGAGAGCGGCATAAAGTGCACCCCGTCCGCGTCCGGATTCCCCAGCAGGTCCGTGAGTTCCCTCCCGGCCCACGCGAGGGGCGTGACATAGGGCTGGGAAAAGTACGCCAGGTGGCTCGCAAAGAGCGGGTCCCGCTCCAGCTCGTCCTCCCTCCCCAGGAGGCCCGCCCAGAACCGCAGCCCCCTCGCCGTGCGCGGGAGGGCCAGGCCCGCGAGCAGTTTGGTGGCCCTTCCTCCGGCTTCCCTGCAGTCCGCCAGGGTGTCCGAAGCCGGGGACGACAGGAGCGGCTGGGTGAGAAAGCCGGCCATCCCGGCCTCGGTCTTTCGCAAGAGGCGCTCCGGGCTCGAAGGGTCGTTGGGGTCCGCCACGCCCCAGAGCTCGTTCCCCCTCTCGCTGGAAAGGATCTTGGCCGCGTCCAGGGCCGAGAGCGCAGAAGGGCCGCGGCAGCGGGGGTTCGTGGTCTGGTTCCTGTTCTGGTCCCCCCCCACCACCAGGAGCCTCGCGTCCGGGTGCACGCCGTCCACGGCCGCCAGAAGGGATTCGGCCGTCTCGTGGTGGCACGCCGCCACGGTGTGGATGCGGGAGGACGGGTCGTCCCCCGTCCCGGTTTCAAAGGCCTCCCGGTCCCGGTCCGATACCACCCCCGGCAGGTCGGGCAGGACGAAGTGGGCCGCCGCGGGGAGGAGCAGGGACCGGACCTCCGCCACGCTCTTGTTCCATTCGACGGAAACGATCTTTCCCGCCGCGGGCGAGAAAGCACGCATGGGATGGAATGGAATGGAATAAAATAAAATGGCAAGGCAAGGAATGACACGGTGCAGCGGTGGAACGCGTTGCTCCGGAGGCCTTTGTGGTTGTTCCTCGGAGAATAGGTCGGGAGCCGGTGGAAGAATCTCTGTATGCTGGTTCGATTTCGATTTCGCTTTCGCCTTCGATTCGATCGCCGGTTTGTTCCGATGCCGCTAAAGAAGCCAAGATAACACTTTTGTAGACAGTGTATTAGAGAAAGAGTCGACAGGGAGAGATTGTTGTTTCGTGATGTACGATACTGTATGTACGTACCGTAGAATTGTGGTTTCTGCGGTATGTTTCCCGTACCGTGCGTATGGTAGTACCCGTAGCGTACGTACGTACTCGTACGCTTGTGCTTCTTAGAAGATCATCCTCTGATTTTATCACATCGTCGTCAATCATGATCCATTCGGAAAAATGTTGGGTTTGAGAATTTTGGCGCAAATTTTTGTTACTATTTCAGTACCAGGTACGTCGTTAATTGTACAGGTATGTGCTATGCTGTGGCATAAAAACAAAAAACGGTTGAAGGACAGCCAGTGAATTTTGAAGTTTCCATTCGAAACTCCGTTCTTTGATGGAAAATGTTGCAACACTTTTGTGGATTTTCTTTCCTCCCAAACCTTTCGGCACGAAACGAAACGAAACAAAAACAAAAGTCACCGACGGCCGCAGCGATGGGAGAAGACCGGATCACGAGAGACGTCCTTTTGTCTCCGGACGAGCGCTACGACGTGTGGGAAATAAAGAGGGTCGAGCGTCCCCACCTGATGGATTTCGAGAACGAAGAGGAGGAAGACGATGCGGAGACGGATGCCGGTGCCGACAACGGCGAGCCGCTCCCGCTGGTCGACGGCTGCGACCTGAGGGGCTGGCGGCGCTCGGGGCTGGTGGACGTCTCCCCCTGCACCAGGGCCGCCCTCCGCGTCGGCCAGGGGTGCACCCTGATGCGCAGGGAGAGCCAGCTGCCGGTGCTCTCGTCTAGGAGCCTCTCCCGCTGGAACGAGCTCCGGGCCCGGCTCCTTGCGCCGCCGCCTCCTTGCCGGGAGCCGGCGCGGATAGGGGCGCGCGAGGCGGTGGCCCTCCCGCACCACCCGTGGTTCGAGCGGGAGAACCTCCCGGTGGTCCTGGAGGGCCTGACCGAAACCTGGAGGGCAACAGAGACCTGCACCCTTTCGAGCCTGGTGGAGGCCTTTGGGGAGACCCAGTGGCGGTTCTCCGACACGCACGGGGCGACGATGGCCCTCTCGTCGTACCAAAAGTACGTCGGCTCCCTGGAGGGCCTGACCGACGACGCCCCGCTGGCGGTGTACGACTCGCAGCTGGAGGGGGACGGCCGGGCCTCCCTGCTGGGGGACTACTCGGTTCCGGGGTGCTTTGCGGCCCCCGATCTCTTCCGGGCCATGGCCGGGGACGAAATAAAAGGCGACGACGACGACGACGTTGACGACGACAGCGAGGACGACAGCGATGACGACGAAAACGAAAACGAAAACCGGCCCGAGCTGCCGCCCTACCGATGGATTCTGATCGGTCCGGCCCGATCGGGCACGGGCCTCCACATCGATCCACTAGGTAATGCCATTCCATTCCATTCAATCTTGTCTTGCTTGCTAGCTAGCTAGCAAGCTAGTCGGCTTGTTGGTTTTCGTTTCGTTTCGTTTCGACAGCGATGACGACGAAAACGAAAACGAAAACCGGCCCGAGCTGCCGCCCTACCGATGGATTCTGATCGGTCCGGCCCGATCGGGCACGGGCCTCCACATCGATCCACTAGGTAATGCCATTCCATTCCATTCAATCTTGTCTTGCTTGCTAGCTAGCTAGCAAGCTAGTCGGCTTGTTGGTTTTCGTTTCGTTTCGTTTCGTTTCGCGTCTCACAGCGACTTTTGTTCTTGCATTTCCGTTCCTTGCCTTGCCTTTCCGTTCCTTGCCTCGTCTCGTCTTTTCTCGGCTCCAGGCACGCACGCGTGGGTGACCCTTTTGGAGGGCGCCAAGCGGTGGGTCCTCTTCCCCTACGGGACCGACCCGTCGTCCATCGGGATGGGGGACCCCCAGGTCCCGTCGGCGGTGTGGTTTTCCGGTGGGTGGTACGAGCGGGCCCTGGAGGCCCACCCAGGGGCCGTCGAGGTCCTCCAGCTCCCGGGGGAGACCGTCTACGTTCCGGCCGGCTGGCCCCACCTGGTCCTGAACCTGGACCTCTCGACGGCGATCACCCACAACTACGCGACGGAGTTCCCCTCGCTCGAGCGGATCCTGGGGGCCGCCGAGCGGGAGGAACCGGGGCTGGTTTCGGCCTGGAGGGACTGGCTGCGGAAGGAGCGGCCCTCGTTCTGTGAGAAGGCCGGAGCGTCCTTTGGAAGCAGCGCCAGAAGGGAAGGATCTCTGGCACCTCCTTCCGATGCGGAATGACGCTTGAGCACACAAGGAACGCCCTGTTTCGAAAGCGGCCATCCACACGACCCAACCCGCAATGGGCAGCTACCGCGCCACGATGGTACAACGAATAGGATACTACGAATTCGAAACCCCGAAACAATCCTACCATGTGATTGCGTTTTTTGCTGTACCGTAGTATTGTATTGTATTGCTTGTATTGCATTGCATTGTGTTGTATTGTATTACATTGCATTGTGTTGTGTTGTGTTCTATCGTATTGTACATTTGTTCGTATCGATTGCGACATTGTTGCCGCAACTCTATGGTGTTGCCTGGTGCTTCGATGCGTCGATCCAAGGGAGGGAATGAAATCGTTGCGGTTCCGGTGCGATGCAAAGGCGCCGCGTTGCGATGCGATGCCTCGTTGCGCTGGGCTGGGCTGCGGCCTCGGCACCAGCGCACGCCGCAACTCGTATCGTTTTCGTTTTCTTTTTTCCCACCGGCTTCCCCTTGCGTGGGTGGGAGTTGGTTGCGGTTGCGGTGGTTTCGCGCTGGTTTGGGTGGACGTGGTTGGGGTTTTGTTTCGTTTTGTTTTGTTTTGTTTCGTTTCGCTATTGCCATTGCTATTGCTTCGCCTTGCTCTGCTCTGCTCTGCACTCTGTTTCTCTTTCTGCCCCGGGTTCACGGGGGCTTTCCCGTTTCCTTTTTGATCGTGTCGGAGAGGTCCTTCTTCCCCGCCACGACGTCCTGCCAGTCCCCCATCTCCACCTTGCCAAAGTCGTCGACCTCCCTGGCCAGCTTCTCGAGGTAGGTGGCCAGTCCCAGCAGCTCGGCGTCCCTCCGGCTGCCCTGCTTCTTGCGGTAAAAGGCCGTGACCTTGAGTCCGTTGGCCGGGTTGAGGGCAAAGTTCCGGGAGAGATCGTCCAGGTGCACCGTGTTGTGGGCCCCCCAGGCCGACGGGAACTTGTTCCAGATGATCTGCAGCGGCTTGACGTAGTGCTGGATCGTCCTGCCGGAGCGGGCCGTCGAGGTGACCGCGAACATGCTCGTCTTGTCCAGGACAAAGCAGAAGCGGTACCGGGGATTGGCCAGCATGCCCAGCTCGATGAGCTTGGTTTCGAGCCACCGCCAGCTGGTCTGCGACCAGACCACCATGTCGTAGCAGAGGTAGGCCCTGGCGAGAAAGTCGTCCATGTAGGGCCGCTTCATGCGCTCGATGGCCTCGGCGGTGGTGGAAGCGGTGCCGCCAAGGTGGTTGCTGCTGTTGCTGCTGTTGTTGCTGCTTCCGCTGCCGCTGTTGCTCCCCGCCCGCTCGAGGCTCTTGCGGCTAAAGTCCAGCAGCGTGTGGTCCAGGTCCAGGACCAGGAGCGGCTTGCCCCTCCTTGGCGCGTGCATGATGCTCACCGCCGTGGACTCCGTGAACCTGCGGAGGTTCTGCCCCGTGGCCACGTGGGCCAGCCACTGTTCGCTCCCGGCGCCAAAGTCCAGGCCAAAGTCGTCCACGACCTCCGGGAGGTGCCTCTGGTCTCGGTCGCCCGGGTCGACAAAAATGTCCTTCTCGGGGGTGCCGACCAGGAGGAAGGAGTGAAGGACGGAGGGAACTTGTGTTGTTGTTGCTGTTGCTGTTGCTGTTGCTGGTGACGACGCTGCTGTTCCTGTTCCTGTTCCTGTTCCTGTTCCTGTTCCTGCTGCTGCTGCTGCTGTTCCTGCTGCTCTTGCTGCTGCTGCTCTGGCCCCCTTGGACTTGGACCTGGGCTTGAGGCAGGACAGCTCGAGGCCGTCCGTGACCCTGGAACCCGAGAGGGTGGAAAGGCCGACGAGTTTCTGCCGCTTGGGCAGGACGTTCGTCCGCTCTGCCAGCATCTCCTTGACCTCCGCGATCGTGGTGTTTGGGGGCAGGCAAGGCAGCTCGAGCCGTTCTTTTCCCCACTTGGCGACGAGCGTAACGGTGTACGGGTGCAACTGCGACTGCAAAAGAGAACGGGAATCCGAATCCTCGCTGCTGCTGCCGCCGCCGTTGCTCTCGCTGCCCGCCATTGCGGCATCTTCGGGTTTCTTTGGGGATTCTGGCTCGGGGTTCATCCTGGAACAGAATGGCCTTTGTGGAAGCAACAGGGAGAACAGTGCGTGCTGGTGTGCCGTAATCTGCTCTTGCCTTGTCCGGGAACGACGGGTTGTGAAGGAAGCTTGTAAAGTAGTAACTCGCAACGGTACGAGTTCATACAGTAAAGATGAAGAATACCATGCATTCGTACAGAGAAGAGTGAAGGATTTCGTGCGAGTACGAGTACGAGTACGAGTACTACATCAACTACCACTGCAAGCGTTTCCATTCAAAATCTTGCTCGTGCTTTTTCACCTTGTCGCGTCGGAAACCGAATCCAATGTGCAGTCCAAGGGTTTTTCGTTGTTTCGAATTCCTATCGTACGTAGGTACGAGTACTGGTACTCGTACGACCGACCCCTCATGTGATCGTAATAAGTATGAACGGTTCGAACCACAAAAATTTACTCGGGAATGAATCGTATTGGGACTTGAAACACAAGAATACAGGAACCATGTCGATTTCAATTTTTTGAGAAAAATTAGATTCTCAGGTCCCCCTCTGGGTACCGAAAATTGTGATCAGTTTTGATCACAAAAAAATGTGATCAGAAATAACAAATTTGTGATCAGTTTTTTGTGATCAATCTTGATCACAAATTCGAACTGTCTTGTGTACATTTTGTACTAGTCCCGTTTTTATATAAGATCTTAATACCCTAATATAAATAATAACAATAATTTTACACGTTTGTACTACTGCTACTAATAGTACACCAGTCCTGTATTACCAACATTCTACGCGTTTGTACTAGTACTAGTAGTAAACCGGTCCTGTACCAAGAGCATAGTGATATGCCCTATTAAGAATTAACCCGACGTGCTACTAATATGACTATATATAAGTTGATACATGAATATATATATACATAATTAAACTATTCGTCATGGAATAATAAAGTAAATATTAATTCTAATCCGTTGGAAAAAAATGTGATCAAGAATTTCATCAATTTTGTGATCATTTCTGATCACATTTTTTTGTGATCAAAACCGATCACAAAATGAAAAAAGGGGACCGGAGAATTTATTTTTTTCTAAAAACATCGAAATCGACATGGTTCCAGGAATCAGTAGTCATACTACTACTAGTAGAAGTACCAGTAGTACTAGTAGTAGTACTACTAGAACTATGCATGGCACTTCTTGTTGTCGTAACGTCTTCAAGCCATGTAATGATATCATATCTCCCTGATCCTCTAATAACTACTAGTAGTACTACTAGTAGCAGCAACTCCTGGAGTGCAAAATATGCTGCTGGTGGTGGTGATCCCCCCCACTGCAACCTTCTTTTCCTCCTCAATCCATAAAGAAGAATACAAAGAGGAAATGGAGGCATCCTCTATGCTGGTGTAGAGTAGTATTCTTGCCAGCAGCGACCAAGAAATTGTTCATCCTTGCTACTATTGCAACATTTCTTCTTGCTTTTCCTCAGATTCTTTCTTCTTGTTGCTGTTCTTGAAAGTGGAAGAAAGATCATAGTAGGAAGAAGCAAGAATAGTAGAGTAGAACATTGGCAGGAGAGAAGAGGAGAGAGAATATTTGTCCCCCCTTGTTATTCACTGCTGTTGGGCATAGTAGACCATGGTAAGCAACAAGAAGGCACTACCACCAGCACTAATAGTACTAGTATCGTATAGGGTGGGCCAAGCAAAAAAGCAAGGTTTAAACCGTACATTAGCAATTCAAGATATACGTAAACGAATAAAAGTCAATATTCGTCGTACGCCGTACTCCCCCACGCCATTAGAAAGCTCTTTGAATTCTCTTTTCAACCATGGGCTTATCATACTTAAGCATCCATTGGGGAAAAAGTTATTGCCAAAACTGTCAGTTCAGGACTAAAACAGTTATACAGTTAAATTATACGTGTGCGTGGATTAGTTTCCATCTTTTTCCCGTGTAATGACTGGTGGGATTAAAAATTGTCCACGTGCTCAGTAGTACGTACCGGTACTGTAGTCGAATTTTTGAATCCCACCAAAATAGTTTTGCTCGCANGGAACCATGTCGATTTCAATTTTTTGAGAAAAATTAGATTCTCAGGTCCCCCTCTGGGTACCGAAAATTGTGATCAGTTTTGATCACAAAAAAATGTGATCAGAAATAACAAATTTGTGATCAGTTTTTTGTGATCAATCTTGATCACAAATTCGAACTGTCTTGTGTACATTTTGTACTAGTCCCGTTTTTATATAAGATCTTAATACCCTAATATAAATAATAACAATAATTTTACACGTTTGTACTACTGCTACTAATAGTACACCAGTCCTGTATTACCAACATTCTACGCGTTTGTACTAGTACTAGTAGTAAACCGGTCCTGTACCAAGAGCATAGTGATATGCCCTATTAAGAATTAACCCGACGTGCTACTAATATGACTATATATAAGTAGATACATGAATATATATATACATAATTAAACTATTCATGGAATAATAAAGTAAATATTAATTCTAATCCGTTGGAAAAAAATGTGATCAAAACTGATCACAAAAAATTGTGATCAAGAATTTCATCAATTTTGTGATCATTTCTGATCACATTTTTTTGTGATCAAAACCGATCACAAAATGAAAAAAGGGGACCGGAGAATTTATTTTTTTCTAAAAACATCGAAATCGACATGGTTCCAGGAATCAGTAGTCATACTACTACTAGTAGAAGTACCAGTAGTACTAGTAGTAGTACTACTAGAACTATGCATGGCACTTCTTGTTGTCGTAACGTCTTCAAGCCATGTAATGATATCATATCTCCCTGATCCTCTAATAACTACTAGTAGTACTACTAGTAGCAGCAACTCCTGGAGTGCAAAATATGCTGCTGGTGGTGGTGATCCCCCCCACTGCAACCTTCTTTTCCTCCTCAATCCATAAAGAAGAATACAAAGAGGAAATGGAGGCATCCTCTATGCTGGTGTAGAGTAGTATTCTTGCCAGCAGCGACCAAGAAATTGTTCATCCTTGCTACTATTGCAACATTTCTTCTTGCTTTTCCTCAGATTCTTTCTTCTTGTTGCTGTTCTTGAAAGTGGAAGAAAGATCATAGTAGGAAGAAGCAAGAATAGTAGAGTAGAACATTGGCAGGAGAGAAGAGGAGAGAGAATATTTGTCCCCCCTTGTTATTCACTGCTGTTGGGCATAGTAGACCATGGTAAGCAACAAGAAGGCACTACCACCAGCACTAATAGTACTAGTATCGTATAGGGTGGGCCAAGCAAAAAAGCAAGGTTTAAACCGTACATTAGCAATTCAAGATATACGTAAACGAATAAAAGTCAATATTCGTCGTACGCCGTACTCCCCCACGCCATTAGAAAGCTCTTTGAATTCTCTTTTCAACCATGGGCTTATCATACTTAAGCATCCATTGGGGAAAAAGTTATTGCCAAAACTGTCAGTTCAGGACTAAAACAGTTATACAGTTAAATTATACGTGTGCGTGGATTAGTTTCCATCTTTTTCCCGTGTAATGACTGGTGGGATTAAAAATTGTCCACGTGCTCAGTAGTACGTACCGGTACTGTAGTCGAATTTTTGAATCCCACCAAAATAGTTTTGCTCGCACGTGCAAAATAGTTTTGCTCGCATGTGCAAAATAGTTTCGCTCGCACGTGCCGGCTGTAAACTCCAGTACAAGCCAATTTTTAATCCCACTAGTCGTTACACAGTAATTAGATGGCCACAAATCCAAGGTTTAAACCGTACATTGGCTGGCCAAGCCTATACGATAGTAGTATTGGTTTTAAGAAGATCCCACTTCCATCTCTGGTGGAGAATCAACTACTACTACTACTACTAGTACTACAGGTAGCAGTGGGCTACCCACATTTGACTGAAACCAAGGAACTGATTTGTCAGTTTCTCCCACCATCACTGGGCCTGCACACAGAGGTTTTTCCAGGAATCCAGCAGCAGGGATTTGTAGTAGTGGTACAGCAACAGATAGTCTGATAAGCTCTCGTCTTTTGCTGCTGGGCCAGCCAAAGCATTCTGCAAATGGTGACACCAGGTGCAAGATGCATCACCACTACTATACTAGCAATAGGAGGTTGCCTGAGGCAGACCCTACTAGTACTAGTAGTAATGGATGTACTACTATTGTGGAGGATTGGTAGTAGTTGACAAATCATTTTTGTTGGAGTACTTTTCCTAGGTGGTGCCCAGGGGATCAGTCTCCTCAAGCTACATCTGTTGAGGTTGAAACCATTGTCCAAATTGTTACTAACAAGAAGGCTCAAGAAGCAAGTATCCCTCTTCTCAGGAATGATAAGGAAAGGAAGTACTACTACTAGCAACAATGCTTCTTCTTGTGACTACTAGTAGCAAGAGGGGAGGAAGGGTCTGCTGCAAAGTATTCTTCCTCATACAAGTTTGCCATACTAGCTATGCTGTTGATGAAGTGATTGCTTCTATTGTTCTGATGCCATTGTTGTAATTCTAGAACTAGAAAGAGTGGTCTATCAAATGACTTGTTTATTCTTATTTTTTTTGTGGCATATCTTTTCAAAAATACACCAGGTGTTGCAATTGTTACTAGTACTACTACTAGTATTTTTTAGCAGTGTGCTTTCAGTTGAATTAGCTAGTACCACTCACCTCCTCCTTCTTGTACTCTGGGGATTGAAACATTTAGAATTGAAAAAGGCAAATCACTTCTTTTGAACCAGCAGCAGATCACCATCATTCAAAGAACAAATGTATCTCTTGACATTCATTTTGTTCCTGTTTCTTTCTCAACACACCATCTTGATGTGAAATCCATCCATCATGGTTCAGAGCAACTGATTCAATTTTTTCTCAACAAGTAGGAGATGTACCTAATTGATGTTTTTTGAACTGTTTTATTTTGTAAAGATCAAGTGTCCAGATTATTTGCAAGGGATGCATACTACTAGTAATAAAATGAAAAATCAGAGCAAATAAAGCTAATAAAGTTGGTGATGGTGGTACTTGTGAACAACTAGTAGGTTGCCTCATTCATCTTCATCTATTTCTTGAATCAGTTTCAGTTGCCACCATTCTTTTCTAATAAGAATCACCAGGTGATAATCAGAGGGGTGAATAATCAAGTTTGTATCTCAGGAGAGCTTTTTAGTTGCCATGG